GATTCAGAGGCCTGGCAAACTATTTGGAATAACTTAAGTCATAAGTACCATGCTACAGGTTTTTCATGGGAGGCAGGGTCCCAGTAAGCCCAAGGAGGGGAAGGCAGACAGAGACAAAGGACACGTGGTGAGACCATGGAGGAGGCAGAAAAGGTGTGCTGACATCTTAGGTAAGGGAGGGGAAGGCAGAGCCTGGAGGCATGACACACGCCTGAGGGATTAGCCATCACCTGTGTCTCAAGGTCACTCCTATTGACTGGTACTGGCACGCTTTCAGCAAAACGAAACCTCCACTCTCTGGTTGCTGTCTCAGGAAAAAGGGACATTAGATGGGGGGGGGGCGGGTAAGAGAAGCAGTCGTCAGATGCCATAATCAAATAGGATTCCACCAATGTAGCATGAGTGGTACCTGAATAAATCCGGGGCTTGGTCTCAGCATGCAGGAAGGGAGCATGAGCTCTCCCACAGCTGGAACCACCTTGAGGCCAGAATTGGCAAGGAGTGGCTTGCTTAACTACATGACAGGGAAAGTTTTTCAGGAATGTAGGAAGAGATAGGTATGGTAAGCAGTGCAAGAAGTCTGCTTACATGGGGAAGGAGGAGGTTTGGAGAGGAATTTGCTGATTTAGAAACTGATTTACAGGCTGATAGAATCTGCGCAGGGGAACAGAAAGTACAGAGGGAAGGTTTGAAGTACATGTTTTGGCTTGCAAGTGGTGCAGAGAGCCAGATTTAGACGGAGGTATGAAAAGCTTGGACATATGGAATCTCTCCCCATCATCCCAATTGCTCACAGTAGTTATATAGGTCCCACAGGAGATTGGGATCTAAAGACCCGAAAAGGGGCAGTAACTTTGGTTGTCTAAAGGATAAGTGAACCAAATTTGAGTGCAAAGGCGGATCAAATTTTTGGTTTTGTATCTGGGCTCTAACCCAAGGTGTCTAAATTATTGAGGAGGCATCTCAGTGGAGAGTCAGACGGCAAAGAGGACGTAGAGGCCTCCATTGTGGGACCCAGTCCCCGAGGGCAACAATGGGAGGATATTATGAATTGTGGGGCATCCCGGCGCGTCTCACATATCCACGAACAGCACAAGGCACACGAAAATCAGTCGTCACTGAGTTCTAGTGGCGTGCAAGGCCAAAGGTCTGAGGGCTATGGGTCACCTGGTGCCAGGCTTTTCAAAGAGAGGTCTCTGAGACCGACGACAAAAATAAACCCAAGCCGAGGATGAGAGGGAAGGGAACCCCTCTACCATCTGAGCCCCAGAGATAGCCAAACAGGGGAAACGCTCAAACCCCAGAGACACCCAAGGGAGAGACCGCAAAGGGAGCCCAAGAAGGGTATGTGGACTCACTAAAGGATGTCCGGTGTTGGATGCGAGCAAGGGCAATTGGGAGGATGAGTCCTGGCCAGTCACATCCTCAGGGTGGTCGTGGGGTGAGTCGGAATCGGGGTCCCACCAGGATTAGCAGGGAAACCCGATCTGAGTCATGGCACCAAATGTAGGCCCCAAAGTGACCATGTAGAGAGGAATGATCTGGCCAAGAGATTGTTTATTGCCGGGTGGGAGAGGGAGAGAGCCAAGAGAGCGAGAGAGAGACGAGCAGGGGCTTAAATACCCCTCAGTGAGACTCAGCATGATCTGATTGGTTAGGATCTTATGGTTCAAGCTGATTGGAGGTTGGGGCAGAAGGCGAATTCAAGCCAGACTTGAGGCAGGACCGTCACCCTGGGAAACAGAAACTTAAGGATGCAGTAAGAAACGAAACCTATTGGCGCCATTATTGCCAACAGTGTGTTTCCACCAGAGCACCCAACACTCTTGACCCCATTTTCTGTCTGTTTGTCTGTATCTTTTCTGAATCTCCAGTTGCCTCCATTTAGCCCCAGTTAGGTTCAATAATAACCGGGACTGAGAGAACGCTTGCTCACTCCAACAAGGGAGAGAGCGAGAAAACAGTGCTCCCTCCAATTTTTATTATTTGTTTTCTTCTGTTTATTTAATTCAATAAATAAATGTATTTAATTTGCTCTTCTTTTTCTAGTCTCCTATGGTGGAAACTTAGATTGTCAATATAACTTTTTTTTGTGGTAGTACTGGGTTTGAACTCAAGGCTTCACACTTGCTAGGCAAACACTCTACCACTTGTCCGGCAGCCCGACATCTTTCTTCTTTTCTGATATATGCATTCATAAAATTTCCTTTGAGTACTGCTTTTGCTGTATCACACAAATTTTGGTGAGTTGTGATGCCATTTTTACTTAGTTCAAAATAGTTTTTAAGGATTGGGGACATGACTTAGCAGTATAGTACTTACCCTGCATGTACAAGCCCTTGGGTTTCAGACCAGTGCTGCTAAATTTTTAAATTTTTCTTGAGCATTCATCTTTGACCCATGTGTGATTATTGGTGTGACTGGATTAATGTCACACCATTACTTGTTACTACTTTCTTTTTGCTGCCCTTTTTCTTTGTCTTCCATTCTTTTTCTGGCTTTTGTGGTTTTAATTTAGTATTTCATTGTTTCTCCTCCTTGTTAGCATGATTCTCTTTTTTCCTTTTACTATTTTTAGTCATTGCTCTAGAGTTTGAAATACACATTTACAACTAATCAAGTCCACTTTCAAGTAACAGTACTGCTCAAGGATTCTTTCCTCAGCAATATTCAATTGTACTAATAAGCCCACCAAACTCATTCAGTTCTGTTACAGTGGTTTTGATCTCTAGCCTTTCTCTTGGTTCTCAGGATTTCCTTCTCTGGTTGCATTGCCCACCTTTTTTTTGCATGATGTCTTAATCATAATTGTTTTAAATTTCCAGGCACTTAATCCTAACATACCTCCCATGTCTTGTTCTGACACTTGCTTTGTCTCTCCAAATTTTTTTTTCCTTTTGATATGCTTTGTAATTTTTTTCTTGATAGCAGAACATGTATACCACATAAAGGAACTGTTATACATAGGCCATAGTAGTGTAGTGGTAAGGTGTGAGGGGAAAGGAAACATTGTTTTGATCTTATCAGTCTGAGCTTTCAAGGTTTTAGATTGCAGACTTCACAGGTATTTGGGGTTTTTGTTTGTTTTTTTCTCTCCTCTTGAGTTGGGTATTTCAGTTCTCCCACACAGGTTAAAATGTTTTTCTCCTCCATTGTAGAAGGCTGTTGCTGACTATAAGTGGATAATTTCTTCCCCAGGTCAATTGTGCTGGTAATACCCAAGTGGGTTAGGCTACAGTTAGCTAGTTTTCTCCTGGGCACAAGCTTTGTTAAGAAGCATTTTCAACTCTCCCTGCTAGTGGCACCAGGGGACTTTTCTCCAGTATTTACTGTGACAACGCCATCAAGTTCTTGGTGGTAAAACACAAAAACGTGGGGACTCCTGAGGACTGGGTGGGTGCCCTTATAGTTTTTATCTCTTAGATATGCCCACTTGAATCCTCTGGTGATTTGTCAATTACAGGCCAGGTTTTCCTGCTTTAACACTGGTTGTATTAGCAGTCTCTGCTCATAAGTCTGTTCTGGAAAGCCTAAATTCATCTGTCTCTCTATTCTTGAGGACAGCAGTTTGCTGTGTCTTTACCTCTCTTATAAGTCCAAGAAGAGTTTTTGACTTTTTGTTCTGTTACTTTTTGCTTTTGTTTTTGGGTGGACCTAGGGTTTGTAGGGCTTTGCACTTGCAAAGCAGGCACCTGAACCACAGCTCTAGACCATTTTGCTCTGGTTATTTTGGAGGGATCTCATGAATTATTTGCCTCCAGCTGAGATCCTCCCAATCTCAGCTTCCCAAGTAGCTAGGTGCCCAACTCTGTTTAGTTTTTCAGTTGTTAGGATGGAGTGACAACTTCAAACTATTTACATGTGTAAGCAGAAATCAAAACTCCCCTCCCCCCAATTTTTTTTTGCCAGCCAAAACAAAGAACTTAAATGCTCTGTTTCTCTTTCAGATTTCCCACTGTTTTAGAGTAGTAGGTTTTATTGACTATATATATTCTAATGGAAAATATTAAGGAGCTTAATTTCAATTGTAGTAAAAAATGTTTGTGAGTTAACATATCTGGCAAATTTTAGGTGGAAGTATTTGCTAGATGCAGAAAAACGTAGGTCACAAATGAGTAATAAGTCACACTGTGTGAAAACCATTGAAAGACATGACTAATGTTCCAAAAACTTTTGTAACCTCAGTAAAACCCAGTGTGTGAAAGGGTTCTGCAGAGAATGCCTTGGCCTTTAAAGACAAGAAAGGATGCTTATTCACATATACTATGTATGCTACATGCTCAGGTGCCTATAGTTTTCAATTTGTGTATTCATATATATATGTATTATACATATATGCATTACAGATTAAATTTACTGTTTAAATTTCAAATGCTTCAGTGAAAGGTTCAGGCAGTTTCCCTAGAAACAAAAGTCAAATCCTATGTCAAAGATTTTTTTCCAATAACTCTGTCGAGTAGTTAAACTGTGCCAGATTCCAAGGGAGCTCTTGCCTTTATGTTTTAATCTATGAATAAAGATTGACAACCCTTTTATTCAAAACACTGTGTCTACGAGAGAGATATGGAAGAATGTTAATATTTTCTAAGAATCCACCTATTGAGAAATACACAGGAAGTGGAAAAACAAAAGTAACTAAAAATAGGTTGGCTACATTAATGTTGATTTTTATTTTATTTAAGAAATTTGATGGCTTAAAAAATTTTAAATTAAAACTAGAAAGCAGGTATTTAACCTCACAAATTGTTTTGCATTGTACACAGGGTAAAGACTATTTTGCAGTAAGATTTAGCTGAAAAATGCCCATATGTTAAATAAATTAATGTTTTATAATTACAAAGCTTAAAAACAAGATCTTCCATTCTGAGACATTTCTTAAGCAATGTAAAGGAGAAAAATACTCAGTCATCTAGCTACTAAGCACTTTTTACATGGCTGTTAGTAAATAATAATTAATATGAGTCAAATGTTCATATTAGTCTTTTTTTCTCTTAACATAGGTGGAATTAGACTCAATATTAAGTAACCTGGAGGCCGCAGATTTCACAGAACTGGTAAGAAGAGGAGGGTATTTTAAGAAAGGCTCAATATTGAATTCTTATCTTGTAAACCAGTCATTATTAGAAATATTTACCAACTGGACTCTTGAAATACATGACATTAAGCCTTTGTTCTGACACTGAGAAAATCTATTTTCTTGCCTTAAGATTTTTCTACTCAGTTAAAAATATTTGTTACACAATGTATATTAAGAGTTTAAAAATGGGCCAGGCCCTGTGGCTCATATCTGTAATCCTAGTTGCTTGGAAGGCAGAGATCAGGAGGATAGAAGTGCCAGGCCAGCCCAGGCAAATAATTCACAAGACCCAATCTCAAAAATACCCAACATTAAAAAAAAGGGCTGGTGGAATGGCTCAAGTGGCAGAGGACCTGCCTAGCAAGCATTAGGCCCTGAGTTCAAACCCTAGTAATGCCCATCAAAAAAAAAAACATAGTAATAACGGGGGTGGGAAGAATAGGGAGCGGTGTGTGGTGGTGCATGCCTATAATCCCATCTGCTCTGGAAGCAGAGATCAGGAAGATTGTGGTTTGAGGCCAGCCTGGGCAAAAAAATTAGTACGACTCCTCCATCTCAACCAATAAGGTATGCATGGTGGTACACATCTATAATCCTAACTATTCAGGAAGCATAGGTGGGAAGGAGGATATCAGTCTGAGGCTGGCTGCAGGCAAAAATGCGAGACCCTGTCTGAAAAATAACTAAAGCAAAAAGGGCTGGTAAAGTGCCTGCCTAGCAAGCATGAAGCCCTAAGCTCAAACCCCAGTACCACCAAAAGAAAAAAAAAAAGAAGAAGAAGAAGAAGGATAGAATTAGAATATCACTATATGGTGTTTGCACCCAGTGAAGCAATAGAGATCAGTAACTATTAATATCCCTAAAAGAAAGACAGCCAGGTTGTACGTGGTTGCTGATGGAAGCACAAATCGCCTATAAAAGATGCTTGGGGGGATTCTTCTCCAGAATTTACTTTGACAACCTTGTCAGACTCCTGGTGGTAAAACTGAAAAAAAGATGGGAGTCCCTAGACTGGGTCCCCCTGGAGTTTTTAACTTTTCAGACTTACCTATATGGTTTCCTATTTACAGAAAGTACCACTGAAAAGGCAACATATTAAATGAACCTGTTTGGGAAAGGGAAGTTTCAGTCAGCAAAATCCAGACTGGGAAAAATGATAGGATAGTTTCTTCAACAAATTAATCAGAAAAAGGTGGAGTGATGCAGAGGTGAGAGGGGAGAGAGCTTGAGAGGACCTGTCAGTTCTAAGAGCCTTAAACATATCAGCCAAATACAGTAGATGGTCTTTCTTGGACCCTGATTCAAACAACCTTTTTTTTTTTAATTATTATATTATTATTACATTATGACATTTACAAAAGTGCTTACAATATATCTTAGCTAACTTCACCTCTATCATTCTCCTTTATCCTTCCATAGAACAGTTTCAGCAGGTCTCATTTTTTCCATTTTCATACATGAATACATAATATTTCCACCATATTCAACCTCCTACACCCTTTCTTTATATCTTCCCCCTCCCACTAGTACCAACCCCCAGACAGGACCTGTTTTACCTTCCTGAGGTTTAAAAAAAAGGTATTTTTCTTTGTTTAAGATACCTGTACAGCGTTTCATTATAACATTTCCATCTATATATGTATTGTATTCTGAATTGGTTCATCTCCTCCATTTTTCTCCTCTCTACCTTAGTCCTCTTCTTATGGTGAGTTCAGCAGCTTTAAGAATTTTGAAAACATCTGTGAACCAGGTGTATTAGCACACACCTGTGATCCAAGCACTCAAGAAGTCAGCCTGAGCTTCATAATGAGACCTGTCTCTTACGAAGTTAATTAATTAATAAAACATCTATGTGACAGTCAAGGAAATGTAAATTCTGATGATTGGATGTTAGATGAGCATAATCTTAATTGATAATATGGTTATGTTTTTTTAAAAGATTTTTTTCCATTTTATAGATAGATAGATCCTGAAGAATTTATGGATGAAATGATATAAACCAACCAATGATAATCCAACCCTTCACTTCCAAGTTACTTCTGAAGAGAACATTTATACAGAAATTTATAGTATATATAAAAAGAGAATAGTATAATTAGCTCCTATGAGCAGGGAACTAACAATATCTTCTCTGCTCAGAAAAGGATCAGGCTCTTTGGCTATGACATCAAAAACACAATCCCCCCAAAATTGATAAATTGAGAATGTAAAACAGTACAACTTCTTAGTCACTTAAATGTAAACCTACCATATAATTCAGAGATCTTATTCCTATTTACTCAAGAGAGATGAAAGTATATGTAAAACAAAAGCCGATCTACAAATCATTCTTATAGAAAAAAACTGAAAACAACTCAACACTCAAACATCTGTCAACAAATGAATAAACAAAGAAATTGTGGTATATCTAGGCAATGGAATAACTACTCAGGAAAGAAATGGGGTGGGGAAGGTGTTCATAGAGCTGTTCTGTTTCTTGATTTTGGTTGTATTTAGCCGGCTGTATTTGTCAAAACTCACAGAAGGGGTCACAGTGAAATTTAAGTTAATAAAAATGAAAAAAAGAACATACTGTAAACTTTCTGTGAAATTTAATTATGGCCTAACATTGTGTTCTTTAGTTTTAAAAAGTTATTAAGGTATAATTTACTGTTAGTGAATTGCTCCTTTATAGTCAACCCCTCTTCCTACCTCTGCCCCTAGCAACCACTGATTTGTTTTCTGTTCCAGTGCATCTGTCTTTTCCAAGATGTCATATGTATTGAATCCATAATAGGTAAATTTTTGTGTCTGACTTCTTTCACTCAGCATAACCTTGAGAGACAGTTCTATCCTTTTTTTTTGGTTGGTTTTGTTGAGACAGGTCCTGCTATGTAGCTCAGGCTGGACTGGAACTTATGATCCTTCTGCCTTAGCTTCCTGACTACTGGGAATTTTTTGTTGTTGTTGCTGGTTTGGGGTTATGGATTTTTTTGGTGGTACTGGAGTTTGAACTCAAGGTCTTGTGTTTGCCAGACAAGGGTTCTACCACTTGAGCCACACCTCCAGCCCTTTTTGCTTCAATTGTTTTTTCAGATAAGGTCTCATACTTTTGGCCTAGGGATAGCCTCTGATTGCAATCTCCACCTCCTAAGTAGTTGGGATTCCAGGCATGGCCCTGGTATCCAGCTTGTTCAGTCATTTTTGTGGCTGAGTAGTATTGCATTATATGGATGTATCACAATTCCCCAATTGTGGGATATTTAGGTTAATTCCAGTTTTTCTTCTTCTTTAGGTTAATTATAAGATCAATAAATGTACATTAAGTGAAGATGTAAGCATGGTTATTAGAAGCACATGTCCTCCCCTGTCCCTCTCCCCTACTCCCATTCCTGATGTAATGACTGCTCTATAGTTTGGAATGTATTTTTCTATCTATGTACATTCCCACACAAAACCCAACATGCATGCATATACACAAATGTTTATATTTGGGGCAGGGTGCTATGTTTAACAAAAATCAGATCTAGCAACATTCTGTTCTGCAGCTTGCATTCTTTGTTAAGCAATATATCCTAAAATCTTTTAGGCTTGCTTATAAAGATCAACCTTATTTTTATATAGCTGTATAATGTTCTCTGATATAACACATCTAATTTAGTTGATCTTTCCCCCATTACTGAGCTTCACATTATCTCTAATTTTTTCATATTCCAAATAAGTCTACTATTAACTTTTATACAAAAGTCTTGATTCAGTTGCATATCCTATAGAACTCTAATGGAATTACTCAAAGAGTATACATATTTAATTTGTTTACATACCATTCAGTTGCCCACAGATAGGTTGTACCAATTTGTGCTTTCAAAACTAGTATATGATAATATTGGATATTTTAGATGGTATGTAATAGAAGCTTTTTCTCTTTAACATGTTTATCTCATCATTCTCTCATGGAATAACAAATTTTTTATTCCATTCCTAGATGTCTCTAATCAACAATATTTTTTAAGAATCAAAGTTACAAAGATAAGGTTGTTCTCAGTCAAATAGATATATATTCATATTATATTTCAGCCTAATACTCTATTGATTCTAAAGAAAGCACTATGAAAAGTTGTTACTGAAGAATATAATTGCCATTTTAACTATTGTAGCTGAGCTAGGATCTTTTTATCTCACACACACACTGTAACATAAATCCACTGTGAATTTTTTCCCTCTAGTCTGAGGATTACTATGACATGAGACGGCTATATACAATTTTGGGATCTTCTCTATTTTATAAGGTAAGTTAAAGCTTGAAATTTTTATAAATATCTAACTGCCGTACACACAAACCTAAAGTAAATTTTCTTAAATTTTTACACACATGAAAAATACATTTATCTCTTTCCTTAGAGTGTACATACCATCAAATTAAGATCCTAAAATTAGACCTGTACCTCTACATTTATAAACAAATGAATATTTCTGGTTTTATTATATTCTAAGGGATTTGCAAATGTGTAAAAGAGAAACAATATGAAAGAACCAAGTGTGTGAGAGAAAAGAGCAGCACTTTCTTAATTTCCTTTTGCAGTAGTGTATTTTTTATACTATCTTGAGAAGTACCCTTGCATCTTTTAAGTAAATCTTAAAATATTAACCTCCATGTAAAACAAATTAGGTATCAAATGAATTTAAATGTTTTCATTTAAAAAGTATCTTTAAACACTGTTTATAACATATCTAACAAAGAATCAGAGACTCAGAAGGGTACAAAGTGAAAAAGAAGTCTCTTCCTGACTCAACTCCAACTTTTCCACTTTCCATTTTCGGAATTCAGTTTTTCTGTTATTTAGTCAAACATGCAGGGTAATTCTGCACAAAGGTGATCTTGCTTTGTGTTAAAGTTTACCTTACATTATCATTTGATCTCGACCTCAGAAAAATAATTTTTCTTTGTTATATCTTAATCTATTGCACTTCAAACTGGATTTTAAGCCAACTATAGAAGTATTTCTAAAACTCTCAGAAACAGAGAATGATTGCTTTGTCTTATTAGTTGACGTCTGCTCTTTGTGTGGTTAAATTCAAGGGTTATTTGATATGCAGTCATTTGCCTAAAGACGATCTTATTGATATTGCTGTTTACTGTCGCCACTATTGCCTGCTGCCTTTAGCAGCAAAACAAAGAATTGGTCAGTTGATAATATGGAGAGAAGTATTTCCTCAGCGTCACCTCCAGCCTTCCACAGACTCAAACACTGAAGTCTTCCAGGAACCTGAAGGGAGATATTTTTTACTAATAGTTGGATTGGTAAGTTTGCCTGGAGTTAATTACTCCAGGGAGTTTTGCCATCTATTTACTGTCTAAATCAATATACAAACAAACATGCCCATAAAGAAGTATATCAAATACCACCGTTCAAGAACATGTTAGGTGCCCCTTTATTCTTTGTCTTTTACATCCATTTACACCTCCTGAACAAATACTGATAAAATCCAGGATAAGATTTTGGCAGGTTCTGAAGATCTTTTGTACCCCTTCCTTTAGTGGTTTTATCCATTGGAATATTTTAGGAAATAGAAATAGTCACAAGAAAAAATACAGAGTCAAGCTAGGCATGGGAGGCAGAGGCAGGAGGATCATGAGTTTGACACCAGCCTAGGCTACCAAAATGAGACCCTATCTTAGAAAAAGAATGTAGAGTCAGAAGTAGAATAAATATGTAATTGTAAATATAAGAACTTCTAATAGTTGAGGTTTCTTTGAACGTTGTCTCACGGATTCCATCTATAAGAGAAGTGGTTGAGGTTGTTTTCAACCAGGATTAATTGCTTTGATAAGGGCTGGCAGAATGGCTCAAGTGGTAGAATGCCCATCTAGCAAGCATAAGGCCTTGAGTTCAAACCTTGGTACCATTAAAAAAAAAGAATCTTTGTTAAGAATCAAGAAGGAAAGGGAAGGAGAAATTTTTAATAATCATCCTATGATCATGCCATGTGCCCATTTGTCTTAGTATTTACAAATTTTACATATTATACATAAATATTTCCATGGTAGCTAAACCTATATTAACTTTCTTTTCTAGAGACATTATGTGTTATGTGTACTATTAGAAGCTGGAGGCTGTGCATCCAAGGCTGTTGGGAATCCTGGCCCAGACTGTATATATGTGGATCAGGTCAAAACAACTCTTCATCAGCTGAAAGGAGTAGATTCCCTCATTGATGAACAGATAGCATCTTCTCCAGGACCCTGTTTGTCCTGTGCTGACTGGTTCCTTGCTGGACCACGTGAAATAGCAGATTTGGCCACTTCTCCTGTCCTCAGTAGGCTACAAGGTACTTCCAAAGCAGCAACCTCTCCAACATGCAGAAGAACCCTTTTTGGTGACTATTCCTTAAAGACACGGAAGCCGAGTCCCTCCCGAAGCAGTGGAGGAGCTGACTATGGTTGTGAAAGTGGAGAAGGTGTTAGCCTTAATCTGCACACTGCACTGGATGCAGCATGTAAGCAAAGAGAACCTCAGGGCTCCAATGGTTCGGAAGAAAGTGGAGCCTTGGTTAAGGTGTGTGTTCACTCAAGTGTGTGCATTGTGGGAGATAATTACAAGGGAATTTCTTAACACTGGATCATTCCTCACTTGAAATTGTGGTGGTTTTAGTCATCGTTGCCAAACCAAAGATTTAGAACCAAAAAGAGAAAGATAGGAACCTCTTAACATCTAGTACTTAGAGGTAAAGAAACTCGTAAATGTTGCTGTTCACGGCTATCAGTTTTTCTTCTGTATTGATACTGATAACAGAACATCCTACCAGTAGTGCATTTTCAGGGCTGACCTGACTGAATAGCCAGTTTAATGTTCAGTAGAAACAAAAAGAGACCAGAACTGAGAGCAAGAGAGTGAGTGAGAGAGAGAGAGTCTACTTTTTATAGATAACTTTTTTTATATGCACTTGTGAATGTCTCAAAGATTCAAAATGCAGCTATAAAGCAGAGGATGTTCATTTTTCAGGTTACCATTTTTCTTACATTTTTTTCCATGAATATACCATAAAATATCCTAATGAACAATAAAGTAATCATCCTTGGAAACTTTGTACTTATTCTAATGATGCCGTTGTCTTCCAAAACATTTTGAAACTTGCTATCTCAATGGATGGAGGTGATGCCAGACAAGGCATACAGAAGGTAGAATCTGAGAAGAGGTACTGATAAAAATGAGCTTCTGACTCACATGGCATAAATAACTCAGACTCAGACTCCTAAGTCCAAACCACAAGACAGTTTCAGAGCCATAAGTGAAATGTATTTAGAAAGTGCTCATACTGTAACTGTGCTCACTATCTTTGTTAGTGAAATTGGTAGGAAATACAGTCTTAAGAGGATTTAGATAGATTTAAGAATTTCAAAGACATAAATAGCTCCCAAGAGAAACTGATTTAAGATTCACCAATTCAACAAATGTTTATTGGGTTAAAGGCTACACTACACAGAGAGATAGAATAATGCAGACAAGTGAGCATACATACTTATGTTCTGGTAATGGCTGTAGGAAGTTTCAAGGAACACCTTCATGCCCTCCCATGACATGGCCCTGGGAATTCTTGTTAACAAAGGATAATAAGCCACAAGGTACAAGTTAGTATAAAAAAATTTAAATGAAGCATTGCAGTAAGTAGTTCTTTTAGAAGGGTTTTTAATTTTATAATGCTTCCTGGTCTTTGATTCTATTCTTAGATATAAAATGATGTTAACTGTTTTTCAGATCACTAAAAAGAAGTCTAATCTTCCAAATCTATTTCATCTGGGAAATCTGAAAAAGGACCTTTCAGAAAAAGAATTGGAAATATATGACACAATGAAGTAAGAAACTTCCTTCTACTATTCTTTTTCACTTAGACTCATTGTCTTTGAGGAAGTTTTGAAATGAGAAAATACAATATCATAAAGATGATTCAACAAATGTAAATATGACATATCTTACAAATTTGAAGTAATAACTATAGTATATCTGTAATGTTTCATTATTACACATTTAAGAAAATGACCATATTCATAGGAGATTAAAAAAACACCCAAAGTAATATTTCAAAATACAAAACTCCCCTTTTATCTCTCTTTTGTATGGCTTTCTGGTGAATACTGAGTCCTCATCGCAGGGTACACATTCCCAGTGCTTGAGGATGACAGGCTGCTAAGGGCTCACAGCTGGGTTCCTCTCTTGAGAGTACCCCACTTATAATGACTCACAGATGAGTGAGTATGAAGACTTGGTCCCTTCCTAAAGTCAAGACAACTCTGAAAGGCCATCCAAGCCTCACAGTTCTAGTGGTGTCTGCTGAGACCTCTGTTGAAACTGCAGCACAGTTCAGCTTCTCCCTCTGTTCAGTCCTGCTTCAATCACATGCCCCACAGCTATTTCTCCCCTCTGTGTATCTCTTGCTCAGAGTGTGTACCCTAGCAATTGGTCCTATGACAAATAGGCAAAACTTCAGTTACATTGGGTAGGGCATTCTGAGGTAAAAGGAACTGAGTGAGGAGGGAATGTTTAGCACTTTAAACTATCTATAATTATTATAATATGAGATGTTACATATTCACTTCTTGTGCAATTATGTGGTTGACAAGCAAGTCTGCTTGAGTCTTGCCTGGTATTTAATTTTGGTGTCATGTATGGGATCAGTTGGTATAACAGACTCAACTGCACACTTTTACTTAAGCAACTAGACCTGTAGAAATAGAATTCTGACACACTACACACACACGAGTATATAGCTATCACATTCTTAATCATTGAAATATTTTATAATAAGTTCAAGCATGTCACTGAGTTCTCAAGAAATGCTTTTTTTCTGAAGTTAAGATTAAAAAAACCTAATGTATCTGCATAAAATTAAGCTTTGGAAATCTAATGTGTTAAAATTTGTGGGAGGTGTTTTTGTTTGTTTTTTTTTGGTGACGGTACTAGGGTTTGAACTCAGGGCTTCACACCTGCGAGGCAGGTACTCTACCATTTGAGCCATGCCTCCAACCCTAAAACTCGGTATTTAATGCTTCTACATATGAATGTTTAAGTTTTTAATAGTTGTTTAAAAAAAAAATCTGAAGCTTTCTGTGGAACCCTAAAGCACCTTCAAAAAGCCCTAGTCTTCCATTTAAAAGAACTACTGTTCTGGAATTTTATTGCTTACACACCATATTTTGTAAATATGTATGTTGTTTTGGCAATATCTCTAGTAAAGGGAAAGTTTTCTTTAATTCAGTAGCTTAAACAAGCTCACATATGGTATAACGTGCCAGAGATGTGCCTTTCTTCTCATTATTGACATGGAAAGATGTCTGTGAAGTACACTGTGTAGCTCATTTTAAAACAGTATGTAATTAATATATTATACTAACTTGTGTGTACACATTTTATAAAATAAAAATATGTATTAAAATTATGTGTACATATTGAAATTGTACCTATATAAATTTTTGTATGCATACACACACTAGACATTTCATTTAGTAACCAAGTCCTGTCTTTCTGCATTGCAGTAGACCTTGAGGCCATTCAACCCCAACTGATACCACATTGGTTCAAACTCCCATTTTCCTTCCCTGGTTTCACTGCTGTAGCCTCCCAACTTCCAGCCGAACCTGCATCCATTTTCTAGTGCTGGAGTGACCTTTCTAAAGAGCACATTTAACCTAATAGACTTTTTTGTACAAATCTTTTGTCTTCCTATTAGGTAATTGCTTGGTTGATTTTTTTTTTAACTTCCAGTTAATATACACCATTTTTCAAGAGCTAAACTTGCTCATTGTGTTGTGGTTCATTTTTGAGAGAAAAAAAATAAATATAACAAAAATGTTGATTCTAACCACCACTCAAAAGAATCTTATCAACAGTTATTGTTTTAGGAATAATTTCTGTTCTGTATTTTTCTTGAATTTGAAGACCTCTAGATTAAAATGATCCTTTTTGAGTCATTATATAATTCTTCTCATCTTGATGATTTGTTTTTATTGCTTAAAAGATAGCAGCCACCAGTTGTTCCAGCTGCCTGATGTTGTGGATGTTTTCCTTCCCTCTCTTATGGCTAGTCTCACTGATAAATTTATTCAACTCATGCTATCTAGACAGATTAACATTTTAACAGGAACTTAATTAGTGAAAATGATCAAGGTAGTATCTAGGCTAACAACTTTTTCCTTGCTTTCTGTGTTTAAAGCTAGGGAAAAACAATCAACTGAACTGAAGGTTTTTGTTTTTTAATATAGAGAGCCTTTATCACAGCAGAATTAGAATGGGCAAACTGAATGTTTGAGTTGCAGATGGGGAACTGCTGTCCTGATATTTTGATTGGCAGTGGACAGAAAAAAACAAGGTACAGGAAGAGCAAGCTCCAGAGTCAGCTAAGCTCTGCCACCTGGCTATGTGACCTTAATCTAATTAATCCATGTCCACTGAACCTTAGTTGTCTCATGGTTAAAATGAGAATAATAATATTTAATATCTTACAAGGTCATTATGAAAATTAAAAGTAAAGTTCTTGAAAGCACCCACCCTGGCACACAGAGAACATTTGGTATTGTAACTTCTGTATTATTCTTTCTTATCATTACTATTGTTCTTTAACCTTTCTTCCTACTGGTAGTTCTAAGCAGGATTTACAACTTCTGCTGACCTTGCTGAGATAAAATAGGGAGGAAAATATGGGAAAGAAAGGAAAAATGAAAATTATAAGAGAATATAGGACACAGGAAGATTGTAATCACAAGAAGAGGTGGAATACTGCCACTTACTGCCAAAGTATTATAGAATAGTAATATTCTATAATATATAGAATATATTATATATATAATAATAATTTTATATTATTCAAGACTATCAACTTTAATGCCATGGTGAAAGACTTAAATGCTACTGACTTAAATGTGTTTAGTTGGTTCCTCCAAGGCTGCTGTGAACCACACTGGGGTAGACTGAGGGAGGACCTGAGACTGCTTAGACTCTCAATGTTAATGTGAAAGTGAAAACTGCATGAGTTAAACATCAAAGGAAGACTTTATTTAGGACTATTATCATAGGAGACAGCATGTGGACTCAATCCTGCTGAATGAAAGGACAAGCTTCTAACTCAGGATCTACTTTTTCTTGGGCATTCAGAAGGTGCAAGAAAGGATGATCTGGCCCCAATCTCCCAAAAGCTCAGACACCGTCAGATGTCCGATCCATTCACATCAACGACCCTTTTAACATTTTCTGCACAAACATCATCAGTTAAGAAAAAGATGGCAGGATTCCAATATGACGAATAGAGAGAGGAAGTAGAAAGTGTGCTTCCTAAAGTAAACTCTTGGAAAGATGCTGGATATACACCTGGCAGGAAAAACCACCAAGAAGAGGCAAAACTCCGACACCTCCACACCCCCAGCCCACGCATAGCATCCCCACGCCATGTTAAATGGAGAAACCAGGAGGACTCCCACACCGCCAGACGCCAGCTCCTAACCTGCTTGGGGGACCACCAGGTGAGCAAATAAGCAGCACACAGTACTCCCTGGGACAAATCAGCATAGCCCCCTGGACAGACTGGCCCCCTGCCCAGGGAAAAAAGAAAAAAATAAAACCTAAATAATAAACAAGCAGCTGAAAAAAAAAAAGACAGGTAGCAAAGAAGGTGGGGTACCCTGAGCTCTGGAGAGTGGGGGAGGGGCACTCCCTCACAGAACTGTAAATAAGCTGACTGGAGAAAGTGGGTGTGGTGCCGCCTCCCCCAGTGGGCTTGGAGAGGGGAAGGCATCTAACACCAGCTAAAGTGTGTGGCACTCTCCACTGGAGAGTGGGGGAGGGGCACCTCCCCACGTGAACTCTAAATAAAAAAGGACTGCGATTGCAACAGGCAGGTAGGGCTGTATACTGTAGAAAACAAAAGGGGCATGCTACAGGAGAACTCTAAATAAACATAGCCTGCAGGGCTAGGTGAGTGTAAAGCTCATTCCTAAGATCTGCAATAAATAAAGCCTGCAGCAGCAACTGGCTGACAGTAGGCAGCAGGTGAGCTGCAGCCTCAGATAGACATTCACAAAGCTGTCTCCAGACTCCTTTTTTTTTTTTCCTTTGATGAGACATCAGAACTACTACTGAAACACCAACACCAGGACTTAATGCTGAAGGATTAACACCAAAACTGTTAAAACTGAAACTGCATTGCGTTTGAACTTGGGATATTTTTTTTCCCCTTTGATGAGACAACAACAGAACTACTACTCAGACACCAACACCAGGACTTGATGCTGAAGGACTAACACCAAAACTATTAAGACTGAAATTTTATTGCATTTGAACTTGGGGAATTTTTTTTATCCTCTCTCTGTCTCTCTAATGCCTGTTTAGCTCACTGTTGATCAATACACTATCTTTCCCTGTTTATTTCTTTGGCTCTGTTTTTTGTTTTGTTTTCCTTTTTCTTTACCTTTTTTGTTTTCCCTCTCCTCTCACCCTTCCATTTTAGATATCATCATTGTTACTATTACAAACTAGACAATACTGAATTATACACAGTACAGGGACAGTAACAGTAGCAAGGGAAATGATGGGAAGGCGGAAAAAGGAGGGAAACCATTTCCCCCCCAATAATAAAGTAGTACAGGAACCAGAGGGAAATGAAGAAAACAGATGCCCAGATCCAGACTCCAATAAAATGAAGATAAACTGTGCCAAAGAACCCAATGAAGCCCACAAGAACACTCTGAAAGAAGAAATCCTGCAAGTAATCAGTGAGAATTTTATAGAGATGATACTGGATATGGTCAACCAAAATGTGCAGGAGACACTCAAGAAATTCCAAGACAACAAAAATAGAGAATTTGAG